TGGAAAGCCAGTGTCAAGGCTCGGCGAGCGGAGGCCAGCCCGCCCCAGTGGGTCTCACCGGTGAACGGTGCAGGCGGCAGGGCCGTGCGGAATCAGTGTAAGTGAAGCCCACGCTGGCGCTGGCGTCACTACGCTGGTTCCAAAACCACTGCAGCCTGCACCAGAGCAGTTTGCGTGTGTAGACAAGCCCAGTCCAGGAAGTGCCTCCCATGTGGCTGTGGGTCTCTGCCCTGCAGCTGGCATCCTGGCCCTCTCCCCCTGCACCTGGAGGAGGCAGGCCCGGGACCCTTGCGGAGCTGCTGTGCCCGTGGCAAGGCCTGTGTGCAGCCTGAGATCCTGGCTGTGCGGGGCGAAGAGCGGAGGACGTGCGCTTCGTGTAGCCCCGTTCCTGTCCTAGGTCTAGGGGCTGGAACCACCGGGAGCTGTGTGTCCCGCTCCAGAGAGGCCCGGAGCCTCCTGAGGCCAGTTGGGGGCAGGGGCCCAGTCTGCCCACGGTACAGAAATGAGGAAGCAGGGCGCACTGGTTGTTTCGGATTCCACTGGCGCTGCGGGCGGGGGCTGGCCAGGGCCGGGATCCTGTCACGCGCGAGCAGGGCTGAGAGAGGGTTATCCTTTGAGCAGCAGGAGGAGCCCAGAGGAATTGTCTTCCCTCTCTAGGTCCCCTGTGGCCAGGGCAGCCGGGGAATCCCTGGGCAGCGTTGGCCAGGCCTGGGACCGGACCGGTTTCTCAGCTCCCGGCTGGGTGGGTCGCGGAGTGAGCCCAGGGCTCGCCCATGGTCGCCCCGGCTCCGTGCTGCTCGGGCGCCGTCTGCTGGAGGGACACAGAGGCCCCTCCCTCCCCCGCCCCGAGCTCTCTGGGCCCCGGATGTCGCCTTGCAGGGGCCGTCGGGGGCTCTGTGCTCAGCCCTTGGCTTTCCCTCTGGGCAGCTGCACGGGAGGCCGGAGCTCGCTCGGGGCAGGCTGCAGGGCAGTGGAGGGCTGCCAGGCCGCTGCAAGGGAGCCAACAGCCGTGTGCAGAGATCTGTCTCGCTGCTGGTTTGCTGGGCAGTGGGGCCAAGGCCGGCCCTGCCTCTAAGCCAGCCCCCGCTGGAGGGAGCCCCCCTGGGGGTATGTCTACACTACCCCGCTAGTTCGAACTAGCGGGGTAATGTATGCATACCGCACTTGCTAATGAAGCCCGGGATTTGAATTTCCCGGGCTTCATTAGCATAAGCG